CCACGATGGTGGCCCGCCACTGATTACTGCATGGGTGTGGATGTGGGTGTGCGTATACTTGTCGAGAAGGAGGGTGTGGGTGTGGGTGTTGATTTGATCTAAACCGCCATTCTCACCCACCTTCACACCCCATCACTCACTCACATTCACACCCACACTCACCCACACCCAAATAGGAAAATGTTCATAGAAGTCAATCGCTGTTCGTTATGAGACAATCTTTCAAGAACTAAAAGGTTAATTTATATTTCGATTGTGAATGTGGATCTGAGAGAAAGAAAGAGAACAAGTACATTTACACCGATGTCTTGGATAATCATTTTCCAGAATTAACTTTAACAAATGATTAAAAATAGGAAACTTGTTATGAAAACCATCTACTAGTAAATTGATTTTCGAATCCAAATGATAAAGAATTTTTTTCAGTTAAATGAATTTTTTGTAATGCATCTTGCTTTGATGTATTGTCATAAATTTTTTATGTAATCATTTTTAGCCAAATGCAATAAATTGATCAAAGTACTAATTTTCAATTGAGAAATCCTTCATGAAAGAAGAAGACGCTGAAAATTATTTATGTTATTTTATTCATGGAAAAACAGATATATTTAAAATGGATGAATTAATTGATGAAACAAAATTGCCAAATCATTGTTCTATGAGTATAGAAGAGGATTGATTATTACATAATCCTTCAGTATTATAGCTATCATAATGATTGAAGTTCAGTATTCATCATTAATTGAAAATCGTTTATTCAAAAAGATACATCAATTATGTTCGATAAGCTACACGTCGAGTAGTCATATTTATGCATGGGGTTCATCATAAGAAGAACTTAAAGTATCAATTGATTTCATTTATTTGATACAAACATTGAAATTAATGATTATGATATACAAGAGAAACCTGATGCAATCAAAAATAATCATTACAAGTGCTGATTAAATACGAATTTAAACAATATTTGAATACAGCAGTAATATTGACGGAATGAGGATGTGGTATTGATCTTTCTGTAGGCAGATATACTCCAGAACTGGTAGTTGGTTCTAAACGTGTATATCGTATACAGCAAGAAAAAAAGTACAGATCAATATTACAAGAATATGCTGTTAACGACATTTTTGCAGTTATAAATTTAAGTTATATAATGAATATCTGCATGAGAAAGATATTGAACAAGTTGCAAAGATTTGTACATCAAACAAAATAAAAATTTGAAAAAGTAATGAAGATATTTATGAAGACATTTCAGAAAATAAAATGAGTAATCAATCGTTATCTGAGATTATCAAAATTGATCTTCAACATAAATCAAGTCATTCGTATACACGAGAACATTGCCATGATGAATTACTAAACAAAATGATGAAGGTTCATCTACGAGATGACCATATCAGTTAAGAAATTTTAACTATTTAGATTCAAACCTTATAATAACATGTTTAACTCCAAAATAAATACGAAAGCCACACGC